ATTTTGTTTTTCCTTTATATTCACTTTGTGATCCTGCCAGTAACATCTTTCCGGTTCTATTGTGCCAGTACACTGTACAGTATCTATGTAAAAACAGTGTTGCCATCCTAGGCCACTCTTCTAATTTGAACTACAAATACCTCCCCCTTTCCTCCTCTCCATTACATTGGAACGAGGAGTTGTGTACTTCACACTATATAGCTAGGAAAGCTGATAACATTCTTTGAGATTTTATTTCAGTATACAAGTTTAAATGATACTGGATTTCCATCAGGATCAACAGGGATTTTTCTGTGCTTGCAAAAGATGTATTTAGCCTGAAAAAGAAAACTTAATGAAGTCATCACATCTAAGAACTGGTAAAGCTGCAATATATAAAATGCTTGTACTTGAATTGCATTTTACTCCCCTAAAACATGTGTCTTTTCCGTTAGGGAAACAAAAGTTATAACAATAAAAGTTTTGATACTGTTTCAGATAAACTGATCGAAAGTATTGAATTTACCACTCCTGCAGTGTTTTATGGACTACCTGAGCAGTTCATGGATTCGTTTAAATTGCCCTTTAACCACTTCAGGCCCAGAGCCCTTTTTATTTTAAATGAGATCTCTTAAACTCCACCTATTTTGTTGCTCATTTTTCAATAATTTGCATTAGCCATTGAATAATTATCTTCTAATCTCAAGTATTCCAGGGTTCCCTCATCCTTATTTCCCATTTATAAGATTAGTGGCTGCTATGCTCTCTCCTTCCCATGACCAGTGGATGTGTATATGCCCCTTTTATGGTTCTCCTGTATGAGTGGTACATTAATTACTTTTATTTTATTCAGACTGGGGTAAATCAGCATTGGGGTTTATTTAAGAGGAGTTGAGCTTTAAATATTTGGACCTTTATTAAAGTAAAGTTTAACATACAAGGCAAGGTACCAAACCGTTCAAGATGTAGAAAGTCAAAGGAGGAGAGCAGTACGTCCAACTCTGGGACAAGAAAGGTGCAATGCAATGATAATTTTCAATTTAAAAAAACTTAGAACAGGAAGCAACACATTCTGTAAGCATAAGTACTAAATGTCAATGGGTCATTTGATGTTTCAGGTGGAGATAGAAGTCCCTGAGTTGGAAATATAGAAACCAGTTACCCAAGAGTGTTCCAGTCCCTCAGTCAAGATTGTCAGCAGTTTTAGTCTCCTACCATCAAAGGCAAGGACAATTTGGAGGACATCCATACAAATAATGTAGGGTGGTGTAGCCACCGGTGAAAACCTAGATTTCCAAATATTGGGGTCATAGCGGTCATGTAGGGTGACACCGTGTGTATCTTTATCAGAGCATCCCACAGGCCAAGGAGGGGGGTAAAACAGATTAGTAGAGTTTTAAGTTGTTGGTGATGGAGAGGCAAATATAGTATAGTATAGTGCATGAGCTCTCTTCTTAGGATTATGAAATCCCTAATGTTCAGGGTCGCACAAGTAAAAGTTGCCATAACTCCGGGGGCTAGGACAAAGGTCGTGTTGAAGCGTCTGGGTGCCAATCCAAATCCCAGCAGGCATCCCCAAAGGTAGGAGGTAGGAGAGAGGGAGGTTGAACTAGGTAAGTTGTAAAGAAGGTGCAAATGAGTAGTAACTAAGGTAGGACCATGACAGCAATCTTAGTGAGACAAGGTGGTGGGGTCAGCTAAAGGGCATCTAAGGATCATTACAAATCTATGCAAAGTACATGCTCATTGATCACCCTTGTCAACTCAAAATAGTTTTGTACAACTAGTAAAAACCAAAAAATAATATTTAGTGTAATTATCCAGTCCCAGAGTTTTTGACTCTAGTCCCTGAGTTTTTATTTTTTTTAATGTAAACAACTTTTAGCATTTTGTAGTCTCTGGGATTTAATGTGTTTTTTTTTATTGATGTATTCATTTTTAGTGCATTTTATTTAGAAAAGTTCTATTTGTATTTGTACAGGTTTCTCTTCATGGGAGGGGAATCTCAGTCAGGTCATGGATGACCTGATTAAGCCCTCCCATGCACTTCTGCAACAAAGGTTCTTTTAATAATGACTTATTGCTTCCTGTTATCAGTAACCTGATCAGTAACTATAAGTAACCTGCTGCTGCAGTGCTAAGAGAGTTAAAGCTGGATAATTTTGTATCTATTTAAGGCCCAATTGAAAGCTTGTTATATATTATTGTAGTTTAGCTAGGCTCAATATACAGTAATAAAAATGGAGCAGTTTACTTACTTTACTTTTATGGCAAGGATTAAAATACCCTGTTTGGGCAGCACATAAGATATTCAGACCAGACTGTCTCCCACACAGCAGTGGCCGAGCTCTGAAGCAGTTTGACGCCCCCCTCAAAACTGAACACTGCTCCAATCTACAGCGCTGCTCGGGGAGTAAGAGCCCTTTTAATTTAATGGAGAGGAAGCTTGTTTGACCACTGGAGAGGCAGGCAGCTGCTTTGTTTGAGTAACCTACTGTCTGACTCCTATGTGCTGACAGCACAAGGTACATATAAGAAAGTGAAGTCTGTCAGTTCCAGCAATTATTATTATTATACAGGATTTATATAGCGCCGGACAGTTTGCGCAGCGCTTTACAATATAAGGAAGACATTACAATCACAAAACAATTCAGGACAAGATGGTAAGAAGGGCCCTGCCCATGAGGGCTTACAATCTAAAAGGGAGGGGTAAGTAATACATGAGGAGGTAACTGTGTGGGGATGTATTGTTGAAAGGCTTCCCTGAAGAGATGAGTCTTATGAGATCGCCTAAAGGCAGTAAGAGTAGGAGATAGACAGACAGGTTGTGGTAAAGAGTTCCAGAGGATGGGAGAGACTCTCGAGAAGTCCTGGAGGGGAGCATGGGAGGAGTTGACGAGGGAGCTAGCAAGCAGGTGGTCTTTGGAAGAGCAGAGGGGACATTTAGGGTGATACTTTGAGACAAGGTTTGAGATATAGCTGGGGGCATAGTTGTGGATGGCTTTGTAAGTGGTTGTTAATATTTGAAATGTTATCCTTTGGGCTATTGGAAGCCAGTGTAGGGATTGGCAGAGGGGGTTTGCAGACACTGATCAGTTGGTTAGGTGAATTAATTTTGGAGCAGCTTTCATGATAGAATGAAGGGGGGATAACCTGTGTAGGGGTAGGCCAATGAGGAAGGAGTTGCAATAGTCAAGATGGGAGATAACAAGTGAGTGGATGAGTAGTTTTGTGGTTTTATTGGTGAGGAAGGGACATATTTTGGAGATGTTGACACCTGGCACCTTGGCATGGGGGGAGTGTTGGATAGTCGTGTTATTAATCTCAAGGGAAAAGTTGGGCGAAGGTGCACGGGCGGGAGGAAATATCATGAGCTCAGTTTTTGAAAGGTTGAGTTTTAAAAAGTGTTGTGACATCCAGACAGATAATTAGTAGATTAGTGACACACAAGGATACCGAGGGGGTGATTTGTGGAGTAGATAGATATATTTTAGTGTCATCGGCAGTGGTGTATTTAAATAACCCGACAAAGCCCCCCACAGATCCTGCAGCATCTTAGGGAGGTTGTGCAGGATCTGTGGTGGGCTTTGCACGCTGCAGAGCCCCCTATGGATCCTGCAAAGCCCGCCTGAGACCCGGCAAAGCCCCCCACAGACCCTGCAGAGACACCCTGCAGTCTGCAGGATCTCAGGGGGTTTGTGCAGGATCTGTGGTGGGCTTTGCAGACTGCAGAGCCACCTACAGATCCTGCAGAGCCCACCAAAGGGTATTGCACAGCACACCTGAGACTCTTTGGTGGGCTATGCAGAATCTATGCTGGGCTCTGCCAGCACAGTCCTCTTACCTTGCACGGCCTGACCTCTTTGGAACACGGCCTCCTCATCTGTGGCGCCCGACACGGCCTCCTTGTCATCTTCGCCGCCCGACTGGAGCTCCGTCTTCGCCCCCCGACTCTTGCGTCTCAGGGACCACATGACAAATGTTTTTCTCTCTTGGGGGCCGCTTGCCAAATGTCATACTTTAAAATAAAATATAACTATATCTGGTTGGTACTACAGACACTAATATACACTCACAATAAGGCCTGTTTCATATCTGTAGGTTTAGGTGCGATTAGGGATTCCTGCATCAGAAACTTGTCGAGATCCACCCAGCTGCGTGAGTGAAAGCGAGCTCTGCCTATCTAGTGGCAGAGCCAGCTGTGCCCGACCCCTTCCCCATCCGTTCCTCCACTCAGCGCTGGAGGATCGAAGAGGGGGAATCCCTGTGGGCAGCGGTGACTGACAATCAGCGCTCACCGCAGGGAGATGATCGAGAAGTGAGCAGATCGGTGCATGTTTCTGCTCACTTCCCGATCGATAGAGCCGACCTGTGACAGCTTCTTTTTTATCACAGGTCGGCTCTAACTATGAGGATGAGTGGAAATTACTCACCTCATAGATCTCCTTTTAAAGTGAATCTTCACACAATGTATTGTGTAAACTTAATCAAATCATTTAGTAGATCAGTCTCAATATCTTCAGTAAGTTGCTGCTCCTTCTCTATCCAGTCACAGTGTTGACCAAACTTTGCCTGAAGCAGAAGAAAATGAATGGTCAGCACCTGATATAACAGGGGTGTCTAGATTCCAAAAATTGCAGAACTGCATATTATTTTGAATAAGACAATTCACAAAAATGTATTTGAACTTTTGAATGTAGCTATCAGCCAACACGTTTGAATATATAAAAAAATTCAATAAAAAATATTTCCAGTCAGTGCAGAGTATATTGTACTGTTTATAGTATGTATTATTGTGCCTATCATAGAACAAAGCAAATGATAAATACAAAACCAAACTTTTTCACCTGTTGCTGCTAAATTATTAAAAGTGTATTTGTTCTTGCAACTAATTTCAAGGTTTTCCTGTGGCATTCCAGATGGGACATTCCCACAGACTCATAAATCATTCACAGTGTCCCTGTGTCTTCTCTGGTTGGCTCTATTTAACGTCAATCACCTAAACAACACTTTCCCACAAGTATCGTGGCAGCAGTAGGAGACACCACGTGACCCATGCAAAACTTCTTATCTTACAATGCTCTGTCACAACACTATAAATTAAATGGGAGGTCTTTTAAACCTGGTTAGATTCAATAGTGAATGACTGGAAAGACCGGTGTAGAGCGTACGCTGGTGCTGCTGCTCAGGTAAGCTTATTGCTCTTTGTACCTGGCAGAGGGATCTGTGTGTGCTGCTTAGTACAAGTCATGTTTTAAGCTGCTTCTTGATACTTGTTTAGCTGTAAACGATCACTGAGCTGCCCATTATAAAGTATTAAAATGCTGGTAAACCTAAACAACAATGTTATTTGAAACAGAGCATGCCATATTCTTCTGCATTTGATCCCTCCATTCACGTTAAAGTAAATGCATGTTAAACACATTGCAAACACTTCACAATCCAATCTCAAATGCATTTCCATGAAGCCATGCTGTGTTTGTCTGATGCCCATGTACGCTGACCATAAATGTAGAGCTGAAAAAATGTGTAGACGTGTTCATAAAATACTTTATGGGCATTTAAAAAGTGCTTTTATATGGTTGTTGGTATATAGGATTAATAGATTTACATTTAATATGCACATTTTAAAGTGTGTATGTCATTAAAGAAATATGGAGACTGCCATTGTTGACCTACATTTGAAGATGTTAGATCCCTTGCTTAGTTTGGCTTCTATATTTCTGAGTCACCGATGCAACACGCATACAGCAAATAACACCCAGGGCCCAATCACACATTTTTACACTATGTGTTACCATATCGTTAATGATTTCAGAATGGTTTGAGACCATTCACAATATCTTTCAGTCCATAAATGTTTGCAGAAGATTCTTAAGAAGCTAAATAATTGCCAAAGGAAGATTTTTTTTAAAAAAAAGCTTTTTTTAAGACTTTGAGTAGAAAAAGTGAAATGCCTTCTTTTTTTCTGTTGCATCTGGGATGCGTGTCTTTGTGTGAAGGATTAATGGAGGAATGTTGATGAAGAAGGAGAGATAAGTGCTGAGTGGAGGAGTCTTTTTTAAGCCAATGTTGAAGATTGGCTGGCATTATATCCATGAGGGAGACATGATAAGGGGATCATAACCTGTAATGACCTCTTTTATTGAGTGAGGGCTAACCTTATGGTGAGTCTTATTCCAATGTGTGGTGGAGGCAGCTAATGATTTAATAGAAAATGCTGCATGATCTGTTCTCTGTTATGTTTTAGGGCCCATTCACACCACATCCAGATCATGTCCAGACCAGACCAGATTTTTTCCAGACCCAAAAAGCATCCTAATGTATCCCTATGCTATTTCTGGCCTCTGTTTACACCAGTGCAGTCCATTCCAGACCAGACCAGAAAAATACTGCATGTCTCATTTTGTCTGGTCTGGAATGCACTGGAACTGCGGCAGGTGCACACTATTTTCCGGACCAGTTCTGGTCCGGAAAATGGTGTGAACCTGCCCTTAGGGTTCTATCCCAATCCTATAACATTTAGAATGTCCTATGTGAGAGACCAGCTGCCAGATTTAGGGATTTTTGTATAATATTAAGAGATTTACAATGTGAATTTACAATGTTGCGCACAGCGGCAGTTTTCTAGATTCAATGTTTTATCATACTTACATAGTTTGCAGCATTGTGTGGTTGATGTATAAAAGTGGGACAAAAATCTGACCACTTTTACTTTTTGTTACTCCAGATATTTAAAAAAATCTGCCCCAAAGTCCATGAAATAATTATGCTGGGCAAATATAGTGACAATGGCACCGATTTTAGTGCAGATGGTTTCAACCCCAAACATCTGATGATTAACAGCAGTCTAGGCCAGTACCGGTCTTTTTGGTAGGGTTTCTAAAAGGAAACCTTTAATTTTTTTTCAAACTTGTAAAAGTGTCCTGTTTAAAGGGTTAGTTCAACTTTATACAAAAATCACCTGTACTGTGCCAAAACAATATGCCATAACCCTGAACTGAGATTTTTTTAAAATAAGCATTTAATGCTATTTATATACCTTGTGCCCATTCTCGCAAGGAATCAACTATTCCCCAAAAATCCTTGTAATCTCCAAACGTCTGTCATGTCTTCTTTTCAGGACAGAGCACCTGGTGGGATGAGCGCCCCCCTAGCCATAGTGGAGTGAACACCATCCTGCTCTTGATCCCTGCACATGCACAGTGTGCTCTGTCTCCAGTCACAGGCCTTTGAACCCTTTAGGAGCAGACACAGCATGGTGCCTCCTCTTACCTTTATCTAAGGTAAAGCATCTAACCCAATGAGGTCTGCCCTCCTGACTTCCCCTGTCTGCTAGTATGAAATTAGCTCAAGCTGTTAATGTCATGAACTGAAGCAAGAGGTAGCAGGGCTCTCAGTTGCTGTGGTCTATAAGGTACTTGGCTCAAGCTACACACCCACCAAGAAGATCAACATTCTAAGCTAGAGGGTAGGGTGTTTAATTAATCTGAGTATTAACATAGAAAGTAATGTAAAATGACAATTGACAACCTTACGTTTTAGAGGTGTTTTCAACAGGATAATGAAGAGATTGAATATGTTTTTGAATTGAGGCCTGATGATATAGACATCCCATTTACATGTTCAGTTTGATGTGGATTTTCACAGATGTGAAGGGGCATCCTATTCTAGCAAATTCTGCTGATCACACCACAGTGTGTTCATTATGATTATGCATCTGCATACTGGAAGGATGTATTTTACTGCATCACAAACAATTTTGTCTTTCAGTCTCCCAGCGCAAAAGTGGGATCCAATTTTTACAGACTGTATTATGTTAAATGATCATGTGAGGATATTTTTTATACTGTTACTATTCAATTGGGTGGTGTGTTCAGGTTGTACATCCGTGTACATCCAGAGCCCCCAGTAGGTCAATAACTGGCCTCTGCCAGCAAATTGCATCGAACATTTAGTCCACAGAAGTTCCATATCCACAACCTACATAAGTATTAAGCCAATCAACTCAGTACACTCTGTCAGGCCAGTAAGAGCATGGTACCATTCAAATCAGCTAGCAAGCATCCTGCTTAAGCTTCTTTCTGAGCATAGCCTGAACTGTACCATAACAGTCAGTCAGTGCTCAAATGACAGCTAATTTATTGATGGTCACCAATGGGCTGAATCAAGGGTGACATCTTAAAAAAACTTCACTGCTACAGTGACGAGATCCCCTCCTGGTTTCTTGTCCTTGCACCCTCTGTAATGGAGTCACAGGATCAATTCTCTTTGATCTCAATGAAAACAGCTGTGTAATTCTAGTGAGGAATTAGAGCCATTTAATACAGTTGCTATTTGTAATTTGTCTAATTGTATAGTACATTTATATTTAAAATAATTTTTTTGCATTGACAAAGAATTTTGTTCACAAATTCTTATTTTTTTTTAGGCAATAAATATGACACTACTTGTGAACCAGTTTACATTGCTCTTAGCAACCATTTTCTGCAACCACGTGGAAGGAAAGAGAGATCCAATTACATATTGTGGAGGTTAGTGGCATGTTTATTTTGTTTTATGCCTTCGGTAAAGCTGTTCTAGTGCAGGGTAGCCAGCAGCGTCTGGAGTCTACATAAGAAGCCTATTGTCATTGAGACCAGCGCTGATGCTGATTTTATGCCAAACTCTGGAATAGAACATTGCTTTTACTGCCAAAAGTGTCTTCAAGAATACAATGTGAACAAAAATTAAATCACTGCTATTAAATCACCACTAAAACAAAATCAACCATAGTCTAACACAAATTAAGGCAAAATTATGTTCAGACAGTCCCTCGGTTACGAACAAGATAGGTTCTGTAGGTTTTTTCCTAAGCTGAATTTGTATGTAAGTTGGAACAGGTACATTTTTTTAAGTGTAACTCCAGCCAAAACATTTGTTTTGGATAGCATAGGGAAGGGTCAACCCCCTGTAACGTTTGTTTTGCTGTGTGTGTCCCTGTTCAGATGATTTCACCTCACTTTCTGTCCCTGTGACAATTGGATTTTGAAAATTTTGGATTGTCGTGGAAACAAGGATTGGTGATAAAGCTTCAGTGGAGACACTTTTTTCCCATAATCACTCTTACAGGAGTGAATTTCCCTTCCTAGGGCCAGATTTCCTTTCACTTCCTGTTGTCTTAAGGATAGGAAGTGAGATTAAATCTTTCTAATGCGGCTACAAGACAACAGTAAAAACCTCACAGTGACCCGGGAAGAAGAGGCGTCAGCACGTCTAACAAGAGCCAACTTCCTGTAATGTACGTACAGTACTACGACTCAGACCCAAAAAGGCGGGCACTCCTCGTCGGCACGAACGCTGTAGCATTACAACTACTGAAATGCTGCGCGGTACACTCTGGCCGCAGCCTGGGTCCCCCTGCTGTACAGTAATAGCCTCAGTTTGTAAGTAGGAGTCGGATGTAAGTCAGATGTTTGTAACTCGGGGACTGACTGACCCTTCTCTTTTTCTATGAGACCTCTTCATAAACTTCAGTTCAAGTCATATCATTACATCAGTGGAGTGAATCTGTGCAATGAAAGTGCCTTATGCTCTTAGAATAAATACCAGAGATTAGTAAACCTGTACTTGTTCGATTTGTGGGGGTTCCATTGAATCCTGTTTGAAACCTGAAAGTAGCAGTAAATCCCATTAAAATCTATGGGAGGTTAACATTGACACTAAATTCTAAACATTTCCAAGGCTAATAGGCAAGCTATTGTGAAAAAAAGGCATAGGAAACGCGGGCGCTGCCTGTGCTAATGCAAAGAAAACAAACAGACATTAAAGTGGGGAGAGGGTCCTGTACATGCGGCTTTGAGAACTGCATGGAAGATACACAAATCTTCAAAATTAAGTTGTTTGTTATTTTTTTCTTTAGGAAGTTTTGATGTAAGGATCTCTTTATTTATCTTGATTAGTGTTTTGTGCGTAAGACTTAAAACTAGGTTATATATAAGGGTTTTAGCCGGTTACACATGAGATCACTGTGAAAATCACTATTTGGATATTATAAAGGTAATAGATCTATACAATTGAATGATATATACACTAATTTATGAAAATATATATTTTTGTTCTTCACAATAAGTGGAGTTATTTCATATGCACTGATTAGTAATTTGAGGACATTTTTTGGTTATGTATATTTATATGAGGATATATACCATATTTGCCGGTATAAGACGACTCGGCGTATAAGACGACCCCCTACTTTTTGTGTTAAAATATAGGTTTTGGGCTATACTCGTCGTATAAGACGAGTATAGCCCAAAATAATGTTTAAATGCACCCACTAACATCCATGGCGTTATTCCTGAGTGTGGCTTGCGGTTAATTTTCAGTACCATAAGGGGTAACCCCGAGCCACACTCGGGATTACAGTCTCTTACCTCGTACACGATCCCTGCTGTGTCCTCCGTCTTCCGCTGAGTCAATCACGGCAGGCTTTGTATTAATGAATACAGGCTTTGTATTCATTAATACAAAGCCTGCTATGATTGGCTCAGCGCGGTATACTGTATGTAGCCGAAGCTACATACAGTATACCGTATCCTTCCGTATGTACCCGGCATATAAGACGACCCCCGATTTTCGGGGGATGTTTTAAGGTCTCAAAACCCATCTTATACGCCGGCAAATACGGTACTATCACAAAACATGAAATGGGAAACTCTAATGTTTTCAAATTGTAGTTAAAGGTAATCCACAATAATTATTTATTTATTCACTTATTAGTGGCGTAACCGAGGAGATTAGCCCTAAATATAAACTAGTTTGGGATTCCCCAAAGTGGCAGATTCCCAGCCACAGTTTCTCTCTTTTCTATTTATTTTTCTATTTTTATTCGTATGGTGGTTGGACCGTGCACAAGAAAGTCCAGGCGTGTCTGAAAATACTCTGCTTTGCAAGCATAATCTTTCTCTTTCCAAGCACTCAGCAGCCAGTTGTATTTTTTAATAGTTATTTCATTATAGTCAGGGCACTGGAGGCAGGAAAAATTAAACCTAGAATCCTACCGCCATAGGCTGTCCAAAAAAAAACCCAAAGTGACAGGCAAGCATTAAAAAGAAGGTAGAGGTGATAGCTGCCAGACATTGCTGATGTGACCTCTTCATCTTCCCTCTAATTCTCTTCATGTTCCTCCTTCACCTCTCTTCCTCCACCTTCTGGCACAAGAAGAGATGAGCTAGTGTGTATTTTCACCCAGCCAGTGGCTTATCAACTAAGACAGTGGTTCTCAACTGCTGGGTTGCAGTCTCTCCTGCCAGGCCATGGCTTCCTGTCACATTACTGTCATACCCAAACTAGAACTCACCCAGCTCAGTTAACACAGGCTCTCTTTGTGCAGCTGCATGTGCTGAAGGAGGCAGAAATCAGATACTCTCCCTACAAAGCACAGGTGACATGTAGGGTAGTGACGTCCACAAAACTGGCTTTGTTCTACTCTTGGTTGGCTACAAGTTCTGCTGAAAACACTGTCTCAGCTGTGTAGGGACTACAAGATTCATGGAGCATTGCATCTTTAGCTCCTGGCTTCGGACAGATGAGTAGTGCAGTGTATTGTATAAATGTTGGTCAAGAAAACACAGACAGGTTGCATTGTACTATGTACCACTGGTGAAAGGTAGCCCAATACGTGCTCAAGGTAAGGGTCTGTGCTGTCAGTGAGAGCCTTCAGTGCAGTGGGAGAATGACTGAGAAGCTGACGTTTATTAAATGAATCAGTGCTGAGTCTAGAGAACTATCAAACATCCTCTGTGGATGTTAGTGTTAAAATCAATACAGATATTTTATATCCTTTTAAAGGAGAACTATGAGGTGAGTGCTTTTCACTCACCTCATAGTTCTAGCCGACCTGTGACAATGAGACTGTCACAGGTCGGCTCAGTAGATCGGGAAGTGAGCGAACACATACCGAATTAGTAATGCTTAGGACTCCTTTTATTAGGGGCTTAGTAGGGATTGGACAGTATGAAATGGATAGTGCATTTGATTTGGCCCTTTTACTGTGTTGGTATGTAAAGAGATACTTTTAATGAATCAGTTATGGTAGTTTTATGTCATCCTCCCTTACCCCATTAGGATGGCCGAAACCGAAAATGTTGTTTATTTTAACTTTTTCAATTTTTTTTATATTTTATTTTTATTTTATTTTTTTAACTTTTTAATTTTTATATATTTATTTTTATTTATTTATTCATTTCTTATTAAATATTTTTTACTTTACTTTTAGGGGTTTTAGGGAAATATTGGGGGTCTAAATAGACCCTTGATATTTCCCTTTTAAAATAGAAAAAGAGATTGGGCACACAGAGTCCTCAATCTCTTTTTCTGCAGCCCCTTTTATCAATGAACAGGAATCCTCTATGAGTGTTACTGTTCATATAACATGAGGAGAGAGTATGTTTACTATAACCACATTCATGAATGAACAGGAGGTGATGTAGATCACTTCCCATTTATTCATAATTGAGAATATAGTAAACATACCATGTCCTCAATTATTTACAAACACTCCGCGATCACTGAGTGTTTGTACTCACTCTCCTTCCTGACTCACTGTCACTGGAGGCTGAGCGAGCGGTGCAGGGAGGAGAGCTCAGCCTCCTGTGGCCGCGCTGGCTGTCTCCGCCCACAGTGCTCTCCTCTGATATGTGACAGGAGGCAGAGCGCAGCGGGGAGGAGAGACACCAGCCGCTCACAGCACTCTCCTCCCGCAGCGCTCGACCGCGAGTTTCTCTCCTCCCTGCTGGGACACAGAGCAGCGCCCAGCGGGGAGGAGAGATATTACCATCCCAGGACAGGAATTTATAGAAAATCTTTCCAAAGGGACCTTTACCTCCTTTCACTAAAAATGACATTAGTATGCATCTCTGAATGCTGATATGAAATAATCTTACATTCATTAGTTAAATAAACATATTTTTCTTTTACTTACAATTACAGTTTTTCCACTTCCTGGTCCTCTTATGGCATTAATGATATAGTCCATGCCTAAGAGATGTATTCTGGGAAGTTTATATCAGTATTGTATTGCAAATCTCATCTGTAAAATGCAAAATCTCAGGGAAAGGCATTTGTATTCCCCTGAGATGATGTGCATGGTCAAATGTCCTTGTCCTCAGTAAAAATGGGCATTGTGAGAATAATGGGGACGAAAAGAAAAATAAGGTATGCAAAGAATATAAAGCTGGCATGTATCTATAAGTATCTGTTTGTAGATTGTCATTACTAAACATTTCTAAAGGTACCTTTCTTGTTATATTAAAGATACAGTATGGGTAAAGTTCCTTTTTAACAGCGTGAGGGACAGTTTAGAATCTCTCTCAATATTTTTTGTTAATGTGTGTTGCATTAAGGCAGCCCATTCATTTGAATGGGCTGCTTAGTCCACAAAAACGCACTGTAAAAGGTGCATGTAGCATTTTTATCAATGCACAATACTGTGCATTGCACTGTGCTGCATCACTCATCCACCAGCAAGGTAATACAGAATGATCAGGTCAGCATG